GTGAAGATTTTCGTTAAATTTGACTATTGAATTTCTTTTACTTTTATTTGAAAAACAGGATAGATGTTAGTTTTACAATTTTTACTATGATTGGCTAAAACCTCCTTCTTGGGGTTTTTACTATACAACCAATTGTTTAGTTTTACTAAGTGGTTGTTGTTGATTTGAAAATAATGGTTTTAATTTGAAGCAGGCCTTAATTGTTGCTGTATTTTGAGGTCTTTTTGCATGATTAATATATCAAGTTCAATGTTTTATGCTTGCTCGAGAGAGATGTTCAGAGCCAAAGCAGCAATTTCGTATTATTAGTAGTGGGTCACCATGATTTCATCTTGAGAGAGTGAAATATGGAATCTATCGTTTGTATATCGCTCGAGAAAATAGATTTGATGAGGACGAGGGTTGTGCATCTTCGTCTAGTGCTGAAGTTCGAGAGAATTCAATAAAAAAGGTAATTGTTTGAGAGAAAATTACTTTACATATAGTCCTACATACCTACGACAATTTATCCCATTGTGAGCAACAACGTACATTCACTAAGTTAAATTCAATAATTGGTTGGTCAATTCCCTAAGTATTACCTCACCATTTGATTATGTCGTGTTAAGTGTTGAATTTTTTTTATAAGGATAACCAAAAATTTGAATATAAAGTGCATTAAGTGATTAGTCGAAGAGGTTGTTGTCATTCTTTGATAGTTGAAATCAAAGGAAAGGCTACTCTTTGTGGGATCAACCCCAACTCATTTAGTTGGGTTATTATACTAACTAGTTATCGTTTATAACATGTATATATCATAAACCACCTAATACTTTAGAGTATAATATAGGGACTAAGCCCATATAAGACTTAAAGAAAGACTAAACGACATAAAGGAACATGTAGGGTATCTTTCACCACTTAGAAACCTAGTCAACCTCCATAGCATACCATATCTCCAATCCCTATGCTTTAGTCAAAAAGGGAAAAGAAGGGGTTAGCACATTACACACTAAGTATGGAAGTCATGCAAAAGCCATGCAAAAAAAGACATTTCGTATAGAAACATGCTTTCATGAGATTTTGATAAAAACCTTCATCATAAGAGTTTAAGAGACACAATACAAGTCATCAATAACATATAAGACATTAAGCTAACACCAAAATATAGGACTTAACTCCATATTTAACAAGTAAGCCTTCTCATCATTTAGTGTCACATTCGGGTTTACCCCCAGGCGTAACCGGCATCTTCGTCCTTTTCAAGGACTAAGACTAGCCTCTTAGTCTCATGTCATTACATTTATAGGTTGAAAAATACGTAAAAAATAGTCGTATTGAGTATGCATAGACCCTTCATATAGGAAGGTTACATAGCCTTCTAATTTTATTGCACACACACATATATAAGATAGAAAAATAGTCTCCAAGATTGTCTCATCTCATACCATCTAAATGATTATCACAATATGGGCATTAACCCTTACATCAATACAACAAGACCACATATAGGTCATACAAATGTATAGTACTCAATTGAAAAGGAAATAAATGAAAGAGTCTTTAAGCTCATAACAAGTCCATAAGCTAGATAGTGGCATTGCCCTCAGAATACCAAAAGCCCTTAGCCAAGGCCATGATCATCAATTCAATACAAAAACCATAATACTCAATGAATCTAGGTGAATTCAATATAGATTTATCAATATAAGATATCCTACACATCAATTGAATACAATTCTTACATCATTCAATAGCCCATAGAAAACTACATTAGAATTCATAAGCATTCAGACAATGTCATAACATCCATAAGGTAGTCAAAATTAGGATTCATAAATTAATGGGTTCATAGGTTAATTATGTTAAATAATCTAATTAACATCAATATAATCAATATATAATGATTCAAAACCCTTAATGAAAGAACCCATGGGTAGATCATAAAATTGGACAAGTTCATCTTTAGAAAACTTTAGAAATCACTTTGAATTGGGATCCTTGATTAATAGAGTTTCAAGGATCAAAAATCATACCTAAATGATGTTAATACACGAAATTAATGAATAATAACCACTCAAATCTTTAATCCAAGATCTTCCTTGAGTTTTGACTTCAATGGAGTTCTAGAGAATTTCTTAAAGATTTTGGGGTTTTGATTTGGAAGAATGAATTCATCTAGGTATTTAGGACTTATAAACCCACTTATAATACCTAAAATACCCCAAAGTAACCTCCAAAACTCTTATTTGGACTTGGATGAATTTACCAATTCACCTATCAACTTAACAGTGAACTTGCAAAATTGCAGGCCCATCAACGATTGGTCCATCGACAGACCATCTCCCCACCAAAGGACCATCCTGCTGGTCCGTGGTTTGGGTCAGATACTTTTCCTTGGATGCACCTCTCCCACTCCTAAGTGTCAACCTATGCCCCTTACCTACGGGGCGTCGACTGACCTACTGGTCATCGTTTGCCATCCGTAAGTTGGGGCTGGTTTTGACAGCTTTGGATCTTGTGAAGGGTCCTCCCTCAAGGACCATTGGTTAGTCCTTGGGGATGTTTGCCCAGATGTTACAACCCAAATATGTTTGTATACGAGTTTAGGATCTCCCATATCAATTTCATCCAAAACGAACACGTAAAACTCGATGAAACATGCCAAGACAGACAAGGTCATTTAAAGGCAAACCTTTCGAACGTCATGGACCAAATTTTAGTACTTTGGACCATAATTATGCAATAAAAATATGTTATTACACTTGAAACAATGATTTACAAGGGTGTTATATAACTATCATATGTAGTTACTTGGTCATTGTATGATGAACAAGTGGTATGATAGTCTTTGAAACAATAATTGATAGAACTGATGAAGATTTTTGTATTAGACCATAATTTTGTACTTACAGATGATGTAGGACAATATTTTAGTGTTACATGTTGAATTAAGTGACAGTTTAATTGAATTAACCCCTCAAACATCAATTTACGATTACATATGTTGCCACATATGACATTTTTGTTGCAAATTTTCCAACAGAACGTGTATATGTCCTAAATCGCTTAATCTGTCGATTAAGCCATCCTTGAAGTGACATATGTTGCAACATATGTCACTTCAAGGATGGCTTAATCGACAGATTAGGCGATTTAGGAATGAAAAAGGCCAAATTGGACAAAATTTTAGTACTTTGAGCTATAATTAAGAAATAGAAATATTCTATTACACTTGAAACAATGATTTACAATGGTGTTATATAACTATCATGCCAGTTGCGACATGTAAGTCATTTGTTTCAGCTTGTGTAATTTATATGTTGCAACATATTTTATTCTGTTGCTATTGGAATAACATTTATGTTGCTACATATGGCTATACTTTGTTCCAATAGTCAATTGTTGCACCCTATAGCAATCTGTCGGAAACGCGAATGCAAATTATTGAAAAGATTGCAGTTAGCCAGATGATGAATAGTGATTTTAAAGAACTATTAGTTTTACATATCAAAACAACGGTGTGTGATCTCAATCATTTATGAAGTAATTCCAATTGATATAAAATGAAATCTGATCCACTGATTAAATTAGTTAAATCTAATTCAAGAAGTATAAAAGAAGAAATCTGAAAGACTAGCAGTCAAGACTAATAATGTACGAAATAAGAAGAAAAAGATAAAGAGAATGGGAAGAAAGGCAAGCAAAGAAGAATAAGAAGAAGAAGAGGGAGAAGAAGAATACGACGAGAGTTGAAGGGGGGGGGGATATTTTACTTCCCGTTTTGGTAAAGCTTGCTGGTGTGTTCCCCGCCCTCCAATTTTAATTTCCACAAAAATTGGTTAAATTAGGTTTTAGTGAATTTACCCTTTTACCCTTCATTTAATTCAATGGACCAAATTTTCAACTTATAAACTTGAGGGCAACTCCACAATCCTCAATCATTAATCACATAATTATTACGTACACCCAATACTTAAGACTTATATCACCGCCCATTTATTTTGAAACCTTACTGTCACTTTTTTTTATAAAAAAAATCCCTTATTTTAATGTCATGTTTAAGAAAGAAAATGGGTTAGGAATTTTGGGGTATTGAGAAAGGAAAATAAAAGGGAAATTTTATAATGGTTGTTGGTCTATTCGGATGAACGATTACAATTAAAATTAATAACACGTTAAGTTTATGGAGAAAACTGTGTTGGAGTCAATTTAAATTTAAAGTTTGATCAATTTGGTCAAATTTTAGCTAAATTTAATATAAATAAAACAAGTAATAAAATGTTATAATTTAAAATAAATTCAAGAAAGAATTGATTATTGAGTATATTGCTATATATTTTTTAAAAATACTATACTTATTATATTAAGAAAGAATTAAATAGATTGCTATCTATTTAATAAAAAAATACACATTAATAAAATATAGATAAAAAGTATTATAATAAACATTTAATAATGATAAACAATAACTTTTCAAATAAAATAATAAACCGCATTATGTTATACATATTATACATACTAGACGATATAAGTCCGTGCAAGCACGGGCCCAACGACGCCTTCATAACTAAAAAGATGTATGTCATTAGTTTTTGCAGAACACTTTCGTACTCCAAAAATTTGATTGTTCTATAGAATTGTAAATTGGAACAGGTTTCTTGCCGTATAAATGAAATAGCTAGCTGAAAGTCTAATCACAAGATGAAACAATGTTGTAGAATTAGGAGAGTACTTCTAACATTTTTTGGCTGGTTTTCAATAACTAAAATAGTACTCCAACAGCAGTACAATAATAAGCCAAGTGCAAAAGATTGAGAAACCTAAAAAATTAGATTTTTGTTACACTAACTAAACCAATTCAAGCTTCTTACCCTTGTAAGAAAGAAAAGAGAGAAAAAAGAGTGTCCCTCTTAATTCCATACTCCGAAATAAAGTAAACTTCTTACTATCCACATAACAAAATTTAGACACAATGTTTTACAAAAATACTGCAGATTCAATTCATATTAGATATATAATAACTCAAAGAGAATCACATATATGGAATAAAGTCAATCTGATGTGCATAAGATTTTCTGTTCCTTTTTTTCCTGCGTTAAACTTAAAAGATAATCCAAAAAACTAAGTCAACTCTTTATAATTTAAGGGTCTACAATATATCATGATCTAATGTTGTCGTTAAGAAGAACTCCTCGTTCATCTCATTGTTGTTGAAATCCTGCAGAGAAAGAATATAAAATGTTGCTCAATGTGTGGAAAAGGAAGGTAGAAATTAATGTCAACACTAACTAATTTTTAATGATCACCGCATACACTCACCAACTCCTCCAGCTACTGCTTGTTCCAAGCCATACTTGTTCATCCTCAAGAATTGAAAGAATCAGATGTAATCTCATCGATAATCATATACATAATTAACCCAAGATTAAGGATCTTCTTATTTCTTCAAAGACTTTAGAGTTCTAGAAAAAAATCATTGTAACACTACATACCAAGCCATAAGCAGACCATTCGCAATGTTGAACCTAGAGAAAATTCAATCTCTCATTATGTTTATCCGAAAGCATATTTCATATGAGGAACTCACTTCTCATGTAAACAAAGTATAATATTTGCTACTCATCAACTTCATAACATGTCTTCCTATCATATGCGAATCTTTATTATCACTATCCAGAAAATCTTATTTAAAAATCCTAAATCTGCTGATACTAAGCACTCAACTGCTATATCAAAATATTTTTTTTTCACTGATCACTAACTGAAAATTTTAACTTCAGTCGAAGCAGGGGCTTACTCCAATAAAACTCAGTCCTTGCCTCAAAAATACTACTAAAATTTGAAAATTGCATATTCAATTAAATTAATAATTGAAAAGAATTAAAAGAAAAATACAATAACAACATCATATCCAATGTAATCCATAAGTGAGTTCTATGGAGCTTAATAACACTACCTCACAGAGGTAATGAGAGATCCTAAGTGCAACAAATAAAAATATTTTACGAAGAAAGGAATACAATACTGAATAAAACATGTCAATAAGGAAAAATAGTTCAACAACATCCAGAGAAAACAAACAAAAAAGATTTTTTTAAAAAAGGGAGGGGGAGCAGAGTAAGGCAGTAAAGAAGAAAGAGGAAGATTAACATATTAGAAAAACAAACCTAATCATCACTATATAGCTTATGTAGAAACCAATTGAAAGAACTAAACAAACAAAAATACAATACTCCTCCTCTAAAATTTCTTATATGAGATGAACACTTTCAAATCATAAAATTATATAGAAGTAAAACTCTAGCATTGAGATATAAATTTCTATCCTAACAATAAAACGACTTTGAAATATACGGACATTAAGATATAAATCCCTATTTTATCGATACAACACGAACGACTTTGAAATCATACTAACATTGATTTATAAATCTCAATTTCGTCGATACAAACTCTTTACTTCTATGAAGCCGGATGTGAGCTTGTGTCCTACTGATCGTACTCAAAAAGAGTCAATGGGAGTAGACACCATTGACATATAAAGCCCGTGTGTTAGATCAAATAATTCTTTTTTTAGTGAAAAGTCCAAATTAGCAGAAGTCCTGATTTTTCAAATTGTTAATGGGACCTGGGCCAACCAAGGTCCATTAGCTCATCCAGACATGGAATGACATAGGCCGTAGCCGTAGTCACACGTAGGTCAGGGAGATCAGTCCAAAAAAATTATAATATATAGAGAGAATTCTATACAAAGTATTGAAACCATACCAATATTGAGATATAAAGTTGTATCCTGGTGATCCGAAATGAACGGGTCTTTGACATATAAAATTTAATTTGACTGCTTCTCTCCCTATTTAACATTCTACTCCTCTAAAGTATTTCTGTGAAAAAAATCCCTTTTTGAAAGCAGAGGATTATTAAACTAAATTTTGATCACTAAAATCCAGGGTTTGTGGGGTGATGGCTTTGAGGCGTATGCTTGGGTTTCCGGATGATAGATAATATTAGTCAAACTGATTATCACAAAGTGAAATATGACAAAAGAGTAAATAGGTGGATACAACTGATTATCACATGAAATACACCACTTGGAATCCTTGTTTTGGTGGTTCATTTTATTTTGTTTGTGGTTTACTTGTTCTGCTTTTTAATGGTTCTTTTCAGTATTTATCATGCATTTTGGATTATACTCATATTCAAACTACATCAATTCATCGACCCATAATTAAAGTTCAAGAAAATTGAGAAAATAACACATGAAAACATAAACTCGACAAAATAGAATTTAAAAAGAAATTGTGACAGAGATAATTAACGAAGAATTCCCTCAAGATCGCAACAATAGTTGGAGAAGATTGAAGATGAAAAGGAAATATATCGTTGGATAAGCTTGAAGATGAAAGGCAGCGAAGAAAAAATATTTATGAACAATCAAAAGCAAAGATTAGTTCACTTGAGTATCCAAAATTTAATCAAATTTACAAAAAAAAAAACAAAGAATACTCTCATTATCTTCTTTCTCCCTTTGATTATTACAACAACAAATTCCAGATAAGAATTGGCTCAAATACATAAAGAAGAAAAGAGGAATAGGGAAGGGGGTGAACATAAAATAACAATTGCAAAATACCTGAAAATTGCAGCAACACAAAGCACAAAGATGAAGCTTGAAATTATATTGTCAAGACAAAGGATGACATGAGGTGCATGAAAGCCACCTGTAACAATGCGGTGGCAATAAAAATTACATGGAGCAAGAACGCATCACACATACACATACAATGTAACCCTCTTTTGATAACATAGAAGAAAGACACGTAGGGAACTGAAAAGACAAATTGATAGCATGGGAAGAAGACACGTAGTCGCAATAGAGAATGAGAAAGACAAAAATACCCTGAGAGCAATGAAACAAGCATGTTGAAACAAGCCTTTTCTAATATAAGAAAAATGTACTATCTATGTCTATTAAACTAAATGTATGAAGACTCTTATAAATGTTGTTTGAATTGTTTTCCCTTCATTAAAAGATTTTGCTTTAGACGAAGTCATCATTTAACTGTTATTTTTTAATTATTATATTATTATTTTAATTATATTAAATATCTCCTATAAGGTGTTCTAGAATAATGAAAAATTACATGTGTTCAAATTATATAGGAGATTCTGAAATATGGACAATTTTGGCTTTTATCATGAATAATATTTGTATATTTCTTGTATAACTTTATTCTGATATCAAATATTAAATAGATAATTCGTGATACTAGATTGAAATGCATATTTTAAGAATATTTTAATTAATTTAATATCATGAAGGATGAAGTTGGAATTTGAAATTTCAAAGTTGAAAACATAATAATAGGCAATAACTAAGTTAAAATGTATATAAATAGAGAAGTTTGTGCAAAAAGTCAAATTTAAACTTTAAATTTTCAAATTTAAAATTTAAAAATTGAAAACCATTAAAATTGTTTCAAAATTAGATTGATAACACTATACATACATGATTATAACTCAACATTCAAATTAATAACACTAAACTAATTCATTTGAACATTTAATTTATTTAACATCATGAAAGATGTAAGTTGGGAATAGAATGATAGGCAATAAATACATAGAAATATAGAATAGAGAGAATTATGTGAATATGAAATTTGAACTTTTTAAAATTTAAATTCACAATAGACGCATTATATTAAATTGAGAACAATGCACTACATGATTACAACTCAAACTTTCAAAATTTCAATTAATTCAAGGTTGAGAATTTAACTTTAAAAATAATAATTGGCCCACCCAAATGACAACCCCTCCCATTTAAATCTCGTGATACAAACATGACCTGACTCAAGTATCCTGACTCCTAAAGTTAAGACGGGTCGTTGAATGATCTGAAAAATACCCCAAACCTAACCTTGTAACAATCATTTATGTAATCCAGACCCAAAGCTAGTACTCGATTGCCAAAATGTCTAATGGGTTGGATCAACCTGAACTGGAAAACCTTACTTGTATCATAAACAAGCCTAATTAAATATAAATTTATTTTTAGATATAACTTTTTTTTTGTAGCAAATAGTTAATATCATCCACAGATTTTAAATCATTAAAATTTAAACATAGAATATTTTGTGACGAAACAATGTTGTCACTAAATAGCAAGTTGACCTTCGCTGTTTGCTTATATTGTTAGTAACATAACCTAAGTCCTCACTAATTTTTTATATTATTAGTGACTAAAACTAAAGTCATAATAAGAAGAAAAAAACTCTGTAAAAACTTACAAACTTTTACTACGAATTCTAATATTTCTTTATTAATAATTTATTTTTTGTGAAGAAACCTTTTCGCATAAAAACGTAACTAATTTTAAGACAAATACTAATTTGTCACAGATTTGATGCACTATTAGTGATAAATATTATGTATCACTAATAACTTAAAATTTATCTCTAATGATACTTAATAATTTGCGCCAAAAAGTTTTTTGTTGGGAAACTTTTGTGGACAAATTTTGCTTCGAAATTAAATGTTTTGTCACCATAATTATATTGCTTTTGCATTTGTGTACGAAATGAAATTTTTATCACAAAAGGTGATTAATTAGTGAAAAATTTTGTGTCGTTTCCAATAATTTCATAGCTAAATATTACATTTGTTGTAGTGATAGTGTTTGAATTATGATGAGTGTAGGTATGAGCATGTTTAGAAGTCCATATTATGAACGATGGTGATTATGTGAAAGGTGTACTCACATTTACTCACACACACACTTTGAATGTATGAATAAAGTTAATGAGTGAAAATGGGGAATTGTAGGGTAGGCTCTTTTAGTGAGTAGAGGTGAAGTGTCTAGACTCATCCCTACTATTTCTAATGAACTCTAGTAATGAAAAGGGGGATTTTGGGGTGAACACTCTTCGTGAGTTGAAATGAAATTTTTAGTAGCAACCTCACTATTCCCAAGAGCTTTTCAAGATAGGTTGGAGGTTGGATACCCTCCATGAGTTGAGATGTCGTATTCAAAAGTAACCTCTAGGGATAAATACTCTTTGATAGTTGAGATGGGGTGCTAAATAGTTATCCCTTAACCTCTAGGCAATGGATATTTAAGACTCCTTGTAGGAGTTATACTTAGCACCGAGAGGATTTGAAGAAGGGGTGGGTACACTTCGTGAGTAGAGATGTTGTATCCAATGTACCTCTTGAGATGAGTGCTCCTCGTTAGTAGTTAATGAGTTACTTAGAAACAATCTTGTTATCCCTAAACTTTGCGCCGACATAGGTATACCTTGGAGATCCATGTAAAGGCTAAGAGTTTGACCCTACCGTAGGCAAGTGGGGTATCCCTCATCTGGTAGGGGTTAATATCGGGATTTCATGTCTAACTGTCATGGTCTATGTCAGTTAAAGCTTGCTCCCACAAATGAATGTTATGAAATAAGTCTTCTTAAGGGTGTACTACTTAGGGTAAGTGGTGAAATGTGACGATATCTATCCATTGCACAAGTAGACATTTAGAGTGAGTCTTGGTGTGTCCTTATATGAAATGTATGAATAGATCATTATATGATGTTAATGAAGTAATGTGACTTTATGTCAAATGTTAAGGGAATATGTTCATATTATATCTTTTATGATGAAAGCTATGTAAATGATAAATGTGATGTGCCTAGTCTAAGGTGATTCCTAAGGAGCACTAAGTCGAAATAGAAATATGGGATGTTACTTTCACATTGCACTAAGTGTAGATTTGAGGTTGTTTTGGAGGATGGTCTTTATGTGAAGTTCCTAAATGCATGTATTTTTCTTCTAATATCTTTTGTAATGAATGTTGACTTGTTAAATGTAATTAATCATGCTTTTCTGGTAGTGTTAAGTATCACTTAGGTGTGTTTTGAAGAGGTTGTATGAGCGGTCTTTTCTTGTCTTACCTAGGTGAGTCTTAAGATAACTTTGGATAGGGAAAAGTCTATATGATAAATGGGTTTACTGTTAAATATGACTTTATGTTGAGAAGTATGGAAGTTATACCTTATATGCTAATGATGATTTATATGATGTTTTGTGACTTGATTCATGAAGATTTTTCTAAAATAGCATGAAAAGTATGCTTTAACTAAAATGCCCTCTTTAACATGTTTTTGCATATGCAATACTTAATACAACGTTTGTACTAACGCCATACTCTTCTATCTTTCTAAAAGTATAGGTTGAAGGTAAGTGAAATGTTCTTAGTAAGCAAAGCTTGGGAAGTTGATTCTCTCAAGATTGG